AACTGTGCTTAAGAATTATTGATCCTTTCTTTTCCCTGCAACTTAAAAAGTCAAGTTCTGAATGCAATAGTCAACAGCGTATTTTTGAGACCAGAAAGAGAGTTTCTATCTTTGCCTAAAGAAAGTCAGATTGCTGGCAATAAAAATTAAGAGGGTTCTGTGGGATTCTTTAAGGTAACAGATGTGGAATAAAACATGCAAGTTTTTCAGTATATCTGTAGCAAGTGATTAAATGCTTTCAGATTTCAAGAACATGCAGAGTCTTACACATGCACTGTTGTTAGGGAATGATACAGTATTGGTTACTACTGATTATGGAAAAGGCAAGAGGAAGGCAGGATGATTCAGTACAATGGGATGGCCTACACTGTCTGCGTTAAATACAACCATAAACATGCCAACATATTTAAAAGGAAACCCTGGAATTAGGAGGCAATTTATTCATGATTGACATGAATAAGCCAAAGCAAGAAAACTTCCAACTAATATTAGAGTGGCCATGACTACCTGTATGCAAATAGGTGAAAAATATTATGGCGATATTATATACTGTCATAATGGTATAATTGCTGTTGTACAACAGTAGCTACATGCAAAATCTTTTTTTTTAAAGAGAGAGAGAGAGAGAATTTTTTAATATTTATTTTTTAGTTTTCGGCGGACACAACATCTTTGTTTGTATGTGGTGCTGAGGATCGAACCCGGGCCGCACGCATTCCAGGTGAGCGCACTACAGCTTGAGCCACATCCCCAGCCCATACATGCAGAATCTTTGGAAATTAACTATAATTTTTTTGGACTGGGGATCGAGCCCAGAGCACTTTATCACTGAGCTACATACATCCATAATCCTCAGTCTTTTTTTTTTTTAATTAGGGTCTCCCTAAATTGCTGAGACTGTCTTCAGACTTGAGACTTCTTGCCTCAGCCCGCTGAGTTGCTGGCATAACAGGCAGCCATAACATCCAGCTAACTGTAATATTTCCTATAAGAATTTTTCCAAAACCCTTCAAAACAATTATATTTTGACCTCTCCTGTCCAAAGTAATACACAAAGGCTAAAAGGTAATTGAGTAATTTTATTAAGTGGTCTTAATATAATGAAGTCTAAAATCATTCCCAAAGGTATCTCATATCAGAAAGGGATCTGAAGTTTCATCTAGTACTCTCTAGACAAACAGGTGGTAGTACTGAATTATAATCTGTGCATGTCTCCAATGTTCATATAAGGGTGACTAAATTCCAAAAAGAAGTGTTGCTGTTTGCCATTTATTAGACATCTGTTGGAAATTTCTAGATATGCCTAATATACAATAGAATAAAGAGTCTAATAAAAAATATAATTAGAATCATTAAATTACCATTTACTTAACTAACAAGAGTCATAAGATGTAAAGTTACCCTATGAACTCTATTTTTTAATTGATTTTATTTTTTTAAGTACACGACAGCAGAATGCATTACAATTCTTATTACACATATAGAATACAACCTATGAACTCCATTTTGCTTGGAAAATTTCTTTTTGAAAAATCTGATGATAATTTGCATGTTAAAATGTGTAAGTATGTAATATCAAAAAAAGACTACTTTGGAAAATAGATAGAAATATTTAAAATTAAATGCAATTAAAATACTCATCATTTAGTCACTTAGAAGGAAGGTATTGTGCATGCTTATCTATAATTACTGAAAATAAGCTTTAGAAGTATAATTGTAGAGGTAGTAGACCTACAATGATCAAAATACATCTATAACAAGAAGAGATATCAGAATCCAAAGAGAAAAAGAATTTTATCCATTCTTCCTCTACCATACCTTTTACTCCAGTAGCGAACTTTAGTTTACATTTTTGTAAGTTCACAGCAGAACTATTAAAATTAGTATCCTAGATAGTTTTCCTTGGTTTAACCATACTAATATTCTCACATATGTTCAAAAACCTTTAGTAGTTCTCCAGAAGACAAACTCTAAACTCATTGGCCTAGCACTTTATGGCCTGGCACAACTCAGTATTTCCAAACATATTCTTCCCAGTCCCCACTCCACCCACAAGCCCAATCACACTAACAATGTGTTCCTGAATTTCCTCATTATCTTAGTCTTCCTGAGGTCCCCTCTCTTTTCCCATATTCCCATGTGTCTGAATCCTACTCTCAAAGCCAGGTCACCCACATACCTTCCTTTGTCAGACCAGAGTCCATGTTATTGACACCATTCACAAGTGCTCTGTAGTACTTCTACTACATTTACCACTTTGACAGTATTGCAAAACTTAAATACATTTCTTATACCACTTCTTTATATTCTTGCACCTTTTACTCGAATCATACCACTCAGCTCTCACAATGACCACTGTAACATCTATGGATGAATTCCAGTTCTTTTCTTTCTACAGAAACAGTATTGAATTTGCTGTGGATATCATACTTTTCCAGTGCACCCCAGGACACTCTCACACTGTGGCAATCCATTCATATGCCTGTTCGCTTGTCTATCTCTATCAAAAGCAAAAAATGTACATTCTGTTTGTGATCTGTGTGTGTTAGCAGCCCACAGAGTAGGAACTCAGTCAATGATTGATATAGCACCATGATTATCCAAGATAAACACAATTAGAAAACAACTTTTATTAGGCACATAAATGTTAACTCAATTTATGACTAGGCTATTTAGAATGGAAATGTCAGAAAAGAAAAATCTACTTTGGAAAAGTAGGCAGAATTTAGAATAACAAATAATATAGCCAAAATTCTTAAGAACACATTTATATAAATATTAATGAAAATTAATACACAAATGTATTAGTCAGCTTTTTGTCACTGTGACCAAAATATTTGACATGAACAACTTAAAGGAAGCAAATTTTCTTTTGGCTCACAGTTTCAGAGATCTCAGTTTGTGGTCCACTAGATACATTGCTTTGGGCCTAAGGTGAAGCAGAACTTCATAGCAAAAGAACATGGCAAAGAAAAGTTCATGGCCACTGGGACCAAATACAAGATGTAGTTCCTAAGGGCACAGCCCCAAAGACCCATTCCTTTCAACTAGATTCCTCCTTCTAGCTTCTACCACCTCCAATATTCCATTTAAATAATGAGATCATCAATAGATTAATCCACAGATGAGGTCAAAGTTCTCATGATCCAATTACTTCCCAAAACCCTACCTCAAAACATTGCTCACTGGGGACCACACCGTCAACTCATGTATCCTCAGGGTACATTCCAGATCCAAACCATAACGAACATTAAGGTAAATCCTATGTATATACATGTAGGTACATATATGAGATTTTTATACATCATAGAACACTGAAGAAGAAAGAACAATTTTGGAGAGAGCAATAAGGGATAAAGAAGGATCTCCACTTTCCACTCATCTATGTTGGAACTTTCAAATTAACCCCTTCCCATCCACACACATGCAAAGAGTAGTCTAGAGGCAATTAAAGCACATATTTAAAATGAGTAGTTAAGAGTAAAATCGTAGAGTTTAAGAGCTTTGCATAAAAGAAAACAGATCTCACAAAGAAGTTTTTGAGTTTCAATGGGAAGACTTTGTTTTTGTGGCTTGATTACTATAGGCAAACTCCTTCTTCATATTTCCTAATTTAAGTACTTTTCTCATCTATACATCCAACCATCCTAAATATTTAAGGACGGGACCACCCAAAGGTAAAGTTAAAAGGGACAGTACAGCTCTCTTCCTAAAGTGCACAATAGTATAAGAAGAGCTTCTTATTAGGTGGTCTATGGAAAGAAGCAGCTGCCCCTATAACCACACTTTATACTTCAAAGTGCCCAACTTCTAACAGAAGTTGTAACTAAAAAACTCTAGTTACCAATCTACTCTCCTCTCTTTTGTCTGAATAAAGAAATCTAGTCTTCTGTGGAAAATTTCAAGCGATGTGATATAAGTCTCTTCAAAGGCAGAGATTATCTACTACCCAGCCACTAAAATAATCTACCAAACAGTAGTTTTTTTAGTGACCATTGGGTCAATGATGACATTTCCTCAAATAGTATACACCTGTAGATGTATACTATCTGGTTCTGACATGGCTCTGACAAACAAGGAAACCATCGTTTATTATCTACTAGATTGCCATTTTTGCTTTAAAAATTAAAAGCATAAATGATGAAAACCACCTTAATATCAAAAGGACTCGGAAACCACTTTGGTTCTATAATGGCCCAGAAAAAACAGGAAACTTCCAGAGGTTGCACTTGGCACTCTTAAAAAAGGATGGAGATGGGTGGCCACGGGACATTGGGAGCGAGGGAATCCCCAGTCCTGTCCTACTCCCTTCAGACCAGGAAAGCTGTACATAAACCTTGGCACAAGCTAATTTCTGTATCTCAGCAACTGATCAGAAAAATATTTTTCCTTCCAAGAACCAGTACTCTTATTTGTACCTTGCAGTGTTTCTAGAAGAACTCCTTTAGATCTCATCATCTCACCACCTTACAAAGATGAGAAGGGAATTGCTTTTCCTGCCATTAGTGGCATCTGGAAAGTCCTTTCTGTTTCATTTGTCCTAACAACCAATCTGTTCAAGGTAAAATGCATCCTTCATCCTTTGCCTCCACCTCTTAATTTTCTTCTTTTTCAGTTCCTGTCCTAAGTGTCAATTTTCATATATCAATTCTGATTTTCCATATTTTGTTAGGCTGGCTACATCTTTCTGATTAAGCATTGTGAGAGAAATTTTAGAATCCATACTCTTGAAATAACAGTGAACTTATGGTTCTGATCACTAGACTCTCATGACCTCCATATAAATGCAGCAAACCATAAAATCATTTCAAATTTTTATTAGCATCATTATTTTAAAGGAAGAAGAGGAAGTAGAAGATAGTTTTAGAAAACGTTCTAGATTTATAGACATTTTAAATTTATCAAAACCAGATGATTAATTCCAAACAGTTTTAATACATCAACTTCAAGATCAAACCAGATTACAAGAAAATAAAGTTGGAAAACAGCAATGCACTTACCTGAGGATATGGGGAAGTCCTGGATTTTGACTTTGAGCTGGAAAGCCTTGACTTGGCCCCCTTTCTGTTGTCATTCATGGTGGGGGTGGAGCTGCTGGCATAGGAGAAGGCTGGCTTGGAGGCTGAGATCTGATCTAGGGAGAGTTGCAGCCCTTTGTACTCAGTGTCTCTGCAGAGTGGGAGGACAAAGCCCTTAATCAGTCACCACAGGAAAAGGATTCATGAATACTCTAATCAGGAATGACAAAGATGCATATGTGAAAAAGAAGCAAGCAAAAGTTAGCTTTTGTTTGTTTGTTTGTTTTCCACAAACACCTGGAGAATTCTAGAAGGCCTAATATTTAACAAATGTGTGTGAATGAGACTGCCACAGATACCACAGCCAAATTATATATGCTCATGAAAAAGTTTTAATTAAATTTTTTTCATTATTTTTATTAGTTAAGTAGAAAATAAAGCCATAATTCAATTCTCTGATCTTTTGTGCCTTCTTGGTGAGGTATGAATCATAAAAGAATGCTCTGAAGATTTCCTAAGTAGGGTGGACTCAGCAGATAACCAGCCAACTGACGCTGCTACGGTTGTTGGCAAGATTGTCTTCCATCAGCTGTTCCAAGATCTATCATTTTGTTAAACATCACAAACATTCTTATGGCTGGCTAACTAGTGTAACCAGGCTTATAAGTAGTTAAAGATTCCTTTCAACAGGCTAATTCAATTTCCTCAGGGTACATTTTACCATCAGTTCTTTCCATTTCTTCCTTCATTCAATAAATATTTATTGAGCTTCTAATATATTCCAGACTTTGTGCTATGTGGAGATGTGAAAATAAATAAGATATCTATAATCCCTGCCATTCACATAGATAATAACTTTTTTTGGTAGAAGAAAGAGTAAACAAATAGCCATGCATATCTGCAACTGTGATTTGAAGGGATGAAACTTTGTTAAGAGGTTCATTACAAAGATAGTGTTTGGTATATAGGGGCCAAAGATGGCAGCCTTGTCCCTGTCCACAGTGGATCTCATCTGAAACCTCAAGTTTTCTAAAGAGTATATCCTTGCCACACACATGTCCGATAGAGCATTAATCTCCAGGATACATAAAGAACTCAAAAAAAATTAACATCAAAAAAAAACAAACGTTCAATAAATGGGCTAAGGAGCTGAATAGACACTTCTCGGAAGAAGATATACACTCAATCAACAAATATACGAAAAAATGTTCAACATTTCTAGTAATTAGAGAAATGCAAATCAAAACTACTATAAGATTTCAACTCATGCCAGTCAAATGGCAGCTATCAAGAATACAGACAACAGTAAATGTTGGAGAGGATGTGCGGGAAAAGGCACACTCATACATTGTTGGTGGAACTGCAAATTGGTGAAAACACTCTGGAAAGCAGTATGGAAATTCCCTGGAAAACTTGGAATGGAACCACCATTTGACCCAGCTATCCCACTTCTCGGTCTATACCCAAAGGACTTAAAATCAGCATAGTATAGTAAAGCAGCCACATCAAATGTTCATAGCAGCTCAATTCACAATAGCTAAACTGTGGAAGCAACCTAGATGCCCTTCAATAGATGAATGGATAAAGAAACTGTGGTATATATACACAATGGAATATTACACAGCATTAAAAGAGAAAGAAATCACGACATTTGGAGGTAAATGGATGGAGTTGGAGAAGATAATGCTAAGTGAAGTTAGCCAATCCCCAAAAACCAAATTCCAAATGTTTTCTCTGATATAAGGAGGCTGATTCATAGTCGGGTAGGGAGAGGGAGCAAGGAAAAGACGAACCCTAGATAGGGCAGAGGAGTGAGAGGGGAACAATGAATCAAAATGCATTCTGCTGTCATATATACCTAATTAAAATAAATAAATAATTTTTTTAAAAAATTATATCAACCCTTCACACTGGCCCCTAAGATAAAATGTTTCAAAGAGTCCTCTTTACTAAAATTCTCCTGGGAGAATTTTCTTTCAGGTTCCAGAACTAGCTGGTCTGCTTCTGGGTAGTTGATTTCTTTTTATCTCACAAACACTGTGAATTATCTAATTAATCATGTTTCCCCCTTTGCACTAGAAGTCAAAGGCCCAAAGCCCCAAGTCTACTTTGTAGTCACCTCTAGAGAGTCCTCATGGCAGGCATTCTGTGCAACAAATTTCTTTGTTTTTCTAATCTTACTTTTTCTTTCCTCTAATTCTACAATTAGTTTACCTTTTCAAAACTTTTATATATATTTCTAATACTGTGGATTAAGATGAGTATATAAAACAATAAATTACTGAAATGATATGTACAAAAATGACTGGCACATTTCATGAATCAGCAAATAGTCATTTATCTTCTTTTTCCCTTTCAGTTCTTCGATAGCAGTATTAGACAAAAGTAAAAGTATAATTCTGTTCTCTAAAATTACTAAGAGAGTAATTTTAAGTGTTCTTACCATCCAAAAAAAATTATAAGGGTATGAGGTAATGCATATGCTAAGTAGCTTGATTCAGCCATTGCACGATACATATTTCAAAGCATCATGCCATACACCATAAATATAAGCAAGATTTACTTATCAATTTTAAAGTGATAAAAATTAATTCAGGCAAGTTATCCCTCAAGGAATAAGAACAGAAACCAACCAAATGATTCCAATAATGTCATTGCCACAAACTAAAGTGCAGTGACATATATCAGCAAATTGCAATAGCTTTGTACCTAATTCATTTGGCATCCTTATCTTCAGACTCATTTAGGAGAAAGTCAAATTATCCCTGCTTCCAGACCACATGATTGTGCATGTAAAAGACCTGAAGACTCCACCAAAAGACTGAGAGAAGGGATAAGTGAATTCAGGAAAATGTAGCATACAAAATAGAACCAATAAGTGAATTCAGTAAAGTTGCAGGATACAAAATCAACATGCAAAAATTAGTAGCACTTTTATACACAAATGATGAACTTGTTGAGGAAGAAATAAAAAAGCAATCCCATTCACAATAGCTACAAAAAATTAAAATACATAGGAATGAATTTAACCAAGGAAGTGAATGGTCTCTACAATAAATATTACAAAACAATGATGAAAAAAATTGAAGAAGATGCAAAAAATTGAAAAGACCTCCCATACTCATGGATTAAAAGAATTAATATTGTTTAAATGTTTGTACTACCCAAAATGATTTATAGATTCAAAGCAATCTCTATCAAAATACCAATGGCATTCTTCACAAAAATAGAAAACACAATCCTAAAATTCATATACATCCACCAAAAAAACCCAAACAACCAAATCAATCTTGATCAAAACAAGCAAAGCTGGAAGCATCAAAATACCTGATGTCAAAACATACTACAAGGCCATAGAAATTAAGACAGCATGGTATTGTCATAAAAACCGACCCAGAGACCAGTGGAACAGAATAAAGAGCCTAGAAGTAAATCCACAAATCTACAACTAACTGTAGTTTTTCTTTTCCCCAACAAAAATGCTAAAAAAAAAAAAAAAATGTTGGGCACAGTGGGCCACACCTGTGCTATTCCAGAGACTGAGGCAAGAGAATCACAAGTTCAAGGAGAGCCGGGGCAATTCAACAAGACCCTGTTTCAAAATGAAATTAAAAGGGCTGGGATGTGCCCCAGTGGTAAAGTGTTGCCTAGCATGCTTGAGGTCTTGGGCTCAATCCTCAGTGCTTCAAAGATGACAAACAACAAAGTGCTGAGCACATGCATTGGAGAAAGGACTATCTCTTCAGTGAATGAGGCAGGGAAAACTGGATACTCATATGCTGAAAACTAAACTCAGCCCCTACCTCTCACCATATACAAAAATCAACTCAAAGTGATTGGAAGGCCTAAAACTATGAAATGATTTTAAGAGAACAGGAGAAGCACATCAAGACACATCAGCCTAGGCAATGGTTTTTTTGGATAACCCCAAAAGCACAGGGAGCAAAAGCAAAAGTAGATGAACAGGATTACATAAAGCTAAGAAGCTTCTGCACATCAAAGGAAACTATCAACAGAGTGTTGAGGAGGATAGAAGGAGGTTGGATGACAGGTACCAAAATACATGCAGTAGGAGAAACAAGTTCAAGGGTTCTACAGCACAGTAGGGTGACTACAGTTTACAACAGCCTATTATGAAGCGCTGGAAAAGAGGAACTCAAAGGCTCTAAACACAAGGGAATGATAAGGAGATGGAAATTGTGATTACTATGATTTGATTATTGCACATTGTATACATGTGTTGAAATATCACACTGTACCCATAAATGTGTGCAATTAGTATGTGCTAATGGAAAAAAAAACTCCAAAGTCTTTCTAAAAATTTTTGCATAGCTTCCAATAACAGAGATACTACATATTATATCAGCCTAAAAAAATGTTTTTAACCCAATGAACAATTTAAAATTCTACATATACATTTGAAAACTCTGTCAAATATAAAAAGGGTTATACAAATGCTCTTGATAAAGTAATTTGAAAACATTAATGTATATATCAAAAATATTAAAATTTCACCAATACTTAGCATATGAGTCAGATAGATCAAGGTTTAAACCAATTTCTGCCTTTTATTGTTTAACAACCTACACAGGCTTCAAATTGCTGCTTTTTTTTTTAAATTTTAGGGATATAGTGAGGTTTATGAGACAAATTTTATTAAAAAAAAAAACACAGCACAATACCTAGAACATAGTAAATGCTCAATAAAGAGCACTATTTCTTAACTTCCAAACTTTTGTGTCACTTTTTAGCACAAAGTTGTCCTGATTTCCCCTGGAAAATAGTTTCATTTTAGTAGCAAGTAAAATACATTTCATTATAAACACCTTTTTATGCTGTTTCTCTCTCTCTCTTTTTTTTAATCCCAAACTCATTTTAATTTGCTCTGTTAATTGTTAGCCTCTAAACTCCATTGCATTCTGGTCAAAGTTCTTATTAAGGTAAGTTCTTTATTGCTAAGTCTGCAAATGTGGACCTTAGAGCAGCCCATGCACTCTGAGAGGAATTCGGTCTTCCTGTTTCTCTGTTCAGAACTCCGATGACTCAAAAGATGTGTTAGGATGAAAAGCACAATAAAAAATACCCGCTTAAAGACATTTCAAGTATGGTTGATGTGCTGCCAAGAGCAGTTCTGAATGGCAGATTCGCTAA